GTTATTTAGTAGTCTCTCTCGTCAAGTCACATTGCAGAACACCTTCCTATTCTTGAGCCTTGGCTCACAAGGGAACTGCCCCTTGTCAGTGGGTGGCCGTGCACCAATCCAGCTGGGAAGTGGTCTCTGCACATTCTTCATGTCAAGCAAATGTAAGCAATATGACAAGTTAAACCATTAGGATTACAGCAGTCTGGATTTCCTATAGACCAAGGACCCATGCATTAATTATACTTAATACTGTGATGTATGACAGTTTACTGAGCTAACATCCCTGTGTGTGAGTAGAAACTACCCTTCAGTGGCCAGTGTTGGCACATACTGATTTAAGGATGAAAACACTCTGACAGTGCTTCTCTATTGCATATACCAGAACTGCTAGAGCTTCTTTTATTCCTTGTTGAATACAGGAAGAAATGACATTTTTGCATTGCCATCAAATAATCAGTAATTTACCCTTTTGCTAAATTATGAGGTAGATTTAGCAGTATAACATACCACGTAAGTTGCTGCACCTGATACGGCTTTGTCTTGTGGTTTCTTTTTCTTCCTGTGTTTTCTTGCTGCTTTCCGCTGAGGGAGACAACTCAAAAAACTGAGTGATGGAAGTATTTTAATGATTGCACCATTAAATCATGGTACAGTGGCAAGAGGCCATCAGAATGAATAATGCTAATGGCTAGGACAGGATATTCTAGTCTAAGACAAGATTATGGATTTTAGTTCCTTCAGTGTTTAGTCCCTGACAAGGGAAGGTTCTGTCACAGCAAGTCAGCATCCTGCTAGGTTTTTCAGCTCTTGGCTCAGCTGTGAGCTGTTTCCCTAAGAAAACCTTTCTACTTCTCATTGTATTTTTTGGCAGTGTTTATGGTACAGAATCATTCCTAAAGTCTTGTGAAATTGAAATGCAGTAGCTGAATTTTCTGTTGTTTTGTATGCAGATTTTATATAGTAGCTTCAGATGTATTCTTTATGTTAATATTCTTAATGTTGTTTTCCTCAAGCATTAAATTAAATTTATTTTAAAATATTCACTGTATTTTATTCTATCAGAGTAAGCTGCAGGGAAAGTTATATAACCACACACACAGAGATATAGAATGGCTGAGGGTGGAAGGGACCTTGGATATCATCTGGTCCAAGCCCCCTTCTCAAGCAGGGATACCTAGAACACGTTGCACGTGATCACATCCTGGTGGGTTTTGAATATCTCCAGAGAAGGAGTCTGCTCAACCCCCCTGGCGGTGTTTTCCAGTGCTCTGTACCCTCACAGCACAGGATTTTTCCTCGTATTCATGTGGAAATTGCTGTATTTCAGTTTGTGCCTGTAGCCTCTTGCCCTGTCACTGGGCACCATTGAAGAGTCTGGTCCCATCCTCTTGACACCTTCCCTTAAGATATTTATAAGCTTAGATAAGGCCCAGCTCTCCCAGATTTTCCTCCTGAGCAGTGCTCGTGCTCCCATCTCCTACTCATCCTTGTAGCTCTCGGCTGGACTCTCTCCAGTAGCTCCAGGTCTCTGTACTGGAGGCCCAGCACTGGACACAGCACTCCAGGTGTTCCTCCTCTGGGGCTGAGTAGAGAGGGAAGATCACCTCTCTCAAGTTCTTGGCAGTGCTTTTCCTAATGCACCTGTAAAATAACAATAATGCAACTGAAATCATTTGTAAGGGTATCTGACTGATTTCTAGGAGGGTATTTTCATTAGTCTTTTGTTTTCTACAGGTTTTTGTAGATTTACCTTTCTAAAGAAGGCTAACACACCACCTTTGTTGGTTTAGCTCAAGAAATACAAGCAAGGAGACTGGTAAATGGTGAGGTTTTACATGGAACTACTGCTAAGAGATGCCAAGTGCATGTTTTCTTCTTTTTCATAAGTGTGTCAAAATGTAATTTCCACAGTAGCTGCTTTTTCTTTTTTTTCTCTTTCCCAGAAGTTTTGTTGTCTGTCAGAGTTGCACTGTTTGCGTTCATTTCTGTTCCGATCTCTTCAATGCCATTGTCCAAGCAGAGCTTACCCAGCTTGGAGCTGGTATCGTGTTCCTCAAGCACCAAACTGTGTGAAGCTGCTAGCAGAGGCTCTGCAGCTGCTGTTTCCAAAAAGCTGCTGTCTCTAAAATTCTCTCAGTGCTGAATTTATTAATGTTTTCAGATGTGAACTTGATATTGTCTGTTTGCACATGAGTGGTGTGCGTGCAGCCTAACATAGAAGTGTCTCTACGCAGGATTTAGGAGGAGGCATAGAAAGCCCCTCAAACGTGTGTGTGCTTTTATTACAGAAAACCAAGATAAAGTTGTATTGTTGAGACATCTGTTAGCTGGTTTATGTTATGCTTTGTTTTCATGTTTTAAGTGCCTAATGATTTTTTTTGTCAAGGAGGCAATGGTTTCACTGGTATAATGCGTACTTGGAATTCTGCACTTGTTACTTGCTCTGTAATAGAATATTTTTGCAGTTTCTGTTTGGAAATAAAGACTTATTAGGCATAATTGTGATTTTATTTTTCCTTTTTGAATTCCTGAGTCTTAATAACAACTTCAGTCTTTTCTGTTCCTGTATGGCAGTGCAATTAACCATTTTCTTTTGTTACTTCTAATGCCTGGATTTTTATTTTTTTTAATTTTTTAAATTTTTTTTAGCAAATGAAGAAAAATCAAACAAGAAAAAAAATCATTCTCTAAATTCAGCTATCAATTTGGAACAATATCCCTAAAAGCAACTGAACACTTTGAAATGTGATTAACTGGAAATGTTAAAACCAGTCATGTAAAAGATTTTCATAGAAAGTACTGATCACAGATGCACACCTAGTAGACACGTATCTTGTAGGCCACAAGGTTTTGCTTATAGAGTACATACACAGAGATCTGTAGTGAGTGAATTTCGAATGTATGAATTTCAGTCTTTTCCTTCACTGCAGTTATTTTCCCTTCAAGGCACAATAAGGCCATATAGCTTCTGTGCTACTTACTGTGACTTCTCCAAATAGAAGCTGACCGTCTCATCAACTCAAGGCAAATAGATATATACAGCTGTTTTGTGGTGTGGACTATTATCCTTTAGGGCCCTCTAGGGACTGAACTGTAATTGCCAAATTTTATTACAGCCAAAAGAGAGGGTTAGAACTGAAAGGTTTTATTTGACATCACAGACCACCAAGTGGCTTCTGCCCAAAGGTGAAAGTCTGGGTGGTTGTCACCCCTCTCCTTCTTGTAGTGTGTCATTCTTCCATAGATCAAAAAAAAAAAAAAACAAAGAACTTTGCTGGAATTGCATGTATGAGTGATACAGATGCAAATATGTCCTCATAAACCAAAATATTTCTAAAGCAGAAGTGTAATTTCTGTGGTGTAAAGAAATAAAAAATTAAAATGATCTTAACTATCTCAAATATTTAGCTGATTGGCCATTATTTGCCAAAAGAGCAGCACTGGCTTGTGATGAGGACTGCTTGGTCCAGGTGCAGAGTAAGTGAGCACTGCCCTAGACAAGCCATTGCATCTTCCTCATCCTCTGCTCAGATAGGGAGCAGTTGGCAAAAAGCTGACGAGCAAGGGGAGAGCAGGAAGTGTCTGTGCCCTGAACTCAGATGGCCAGATAGTTTGCTTCTAAATCACAGCGAGCAGAAACCATCCTCCCATGGAGAGAGCATATTGGATGATGATAGCGGCCCTGCTATGGGAAACACATGGTCGTTGGTGTTAAGAGGACTGAAGACATTTTAATAGAAAGCACTGGTCACAAATACACACCTAGTAGACACGTATCTTGTAGGCTACAAGGTTTTGCTTATAGAGTACATACACAGAGATCTGTTTGTAATCTTTTGTAGCAAGATTGGCCAAAACCAGGCTAGGTTTTCCTCCACCCTCAAAATACTGTCAGGTAAAAAGCGTGAAGATGTTGCAACGTAAAGATACTTACATTCATTTGGTTAGTCCAGGAGAAGAGAATGGCTAAACCCAGTCCACATAATGAAAGTCATGGCAGTGGGCTAGCATTCTTAGGGTCGTGACCATACCACCAGTCACCATACCGTGACCATACCCTCAGCTGCAAAAATACACATATGGGCTGAAGAAAACTATCAGCATTTTAAAAAGAGAGAAGGAGCTTCCTCCTGAGGGGCCCTTGATCTAGTGTCTGAATGTGCCTGGGATTTGAGATTCATATACAAGTTTTAGCTTGTATACTCTCATATACTGCATGATTCTGTGCCATCCTCACTCTGTGGCCAGAGCCAATTGATTGCAGCTGGGAGCGGTAGATTCTCACAGACTGTGGGGACTGATAGATGGAACCATCTGGTAAATGGAGATGCCGTAATGAAAGCCTTAGCTCTTAAGTATATAAATGCAGATGAAACTCTTTTATCACGTAAGTGAAGAAAGAGAAAGTCCAGCAAGGACTGTATTTAAGCTGTTGCCCATTTTCTGCAGCACAGAGAATCAAAGCTGAATTAGTCCAGAATGTCACGTCCTGCTGCTGTTATTGGAGGAAGAAATACTGGGTGTGCTGGAAAAAAATTATAAGTATTAGAAATGGAAAAACTTTCAACTTCTAAATTACTTTATTAGGCATTTTGGGAGACTTTAGGGGCAGAAATAATTGAACTGAATTGTAAAAGCAATGCTGCTTCTATAACTCTCAACCTGCAAGGGCATTAGTTCTTTTGTTCAGCTTTTAATATTCTATGTAAGATAGAAAATCGCTCTTTTACTACGTATGGAGTTTTACAGGAGAAAAAACACTCAGTAATGGCCCCTCAATTTGAGCTTCACCATGAACAAATAAATACACGTTACGCAGAATTTGCTGTTTGCTAGGGAGGCAGTCCTGTACTTTCTCTACCATCTAACAGGGCTCAGTCCTTGCCTCTGCCTCTGCCTCTGCCTCTGCCTCTGCCTCTGCCTCTGCCTCTGCCTCTGCCTCTGCCTCTGCCTCTGCCTCTGCCTCTGCCTCTGCCTCTGCCTCTGCCTCTGCCTCTGCCTCTGCCTCTGCCTCTGCCTGAGGATCTGTGATGAACTCCTGCCTGGAATGGTCAGCAGCTGGGTGCCTACAGCTCCTTCCAGAAGGGCAGAAATTGCAAATGTGAATCACCTGTAGGAGAGGAAAGAGTTGGGCTGTAAGTATGATGCCTTGGTAAACATCCTAAAACTGGGTTATGATATAAAGGAGGAACAAAGGAGTCTTATCCTACCTGGATTTTAAATGAATCAATTGTGGTCTTCCAAAATGCAGAGTTATTGGGGGAGGGTTCAGGGCTGATTGCAAAGAAGACAAAAATATTCTCTGAGGCAGTGGAAGAGAAGTAAAAGAGGCCAGATTTAATATCTTTTGGATACATTTATGCTCAATGTGTTACAGAGAAATATGATGAAGGAAGGGTGAGGGATCGTTATTAAGTGACATGGGTGATGACCTACAAGGGAAGATTATGGTACTTTAATGTTAAACATGCTGTTGCTCATCAAATGCTAAAGTTGAATAACTTCCTTTCAAAGAGCCAAACATTGAAGTTCCAGATGGCAGCTGCAGGAGGCAGATCTAGCAGCTGTGACACAGGTTGACTGGCTGGTTTTGGGCACCTCGCTTTGCTATAAAGCTGAATGGGGCTGTAGAGGGAAACAGCCTGAGATTTGTCTTGCCAACTACAGTCTCAGCTTCAAGGTAGGATGACTTGTGTGCTAAACTCTGTGGTCCATAATAACCAGATGCTTTTTCATGGCCAGAGTAACTACTTGGTATGTAAATTTCTACATCACAAACTCCTGCTCTTTTTTAGATGAGTCCCATCGTTCCTGTCCAACAGTTCTCTTCCCTATGTTGAATGGTTTTTAACAGTGCCTTAATTACAGAGCTCTGAACTCTCTTGGCCCTGCTTGCTGTTCTATAATATGGATAATAATTTCTAGGATGAAATCTCTTTTTCTGAATATATTTAACATCTTTTATAAGAGTCTAAAATAGAAACTCTGAGAACATTAACTTAGAGCACTTTTCAAGTTCATCTTACTTGCAGTGCATTAAAGTGAAGTGACAAGTGAGGTGTGACGTGAAGTAATTATACTGATTGTGTTGTATGTTCTCTGCAGGAGCTGAATGATTTGCTGAGGATGTTAATTTCAAAAGCCAGACAGCAAGAGATCAGCTGAGATGAAAGATCACTGCAAAGTGACCTCACACCAGGGGAAGAGAAAAGAAGAGGAGGGTGTGGTTAAGAGCAGGAATTTAGTGCTGTATAGTCTAGCAGTGAACCACAGCAGATGCATTTTGATACCAAAGGTGATCTTCATGTGACTATGGTCACGGTCTGTGGAGAGAAGGGGAGCATAATTCACCTGGCTTATTTTAGATATCGACATCGGGATGTGGTAAATTAATACCCAAGGCTCACAGGTTTATAAAACTTGGTCAGAATTTCTGCAATTAGATGCTTCACTTCCAGGGTCCACAGAGTTGGTGAAGTGTAGGTGTGTACAAACCTAAAATGAGCCACCACCTGCCTTATCTATATGTAATCATGAGCTTGTCTGATCACTACACCTGTGATATTAGATTTCATGACAGTGGAAATTGTAGCTAAGTAGAGACAGCATATAATGAGAACTAGTTGATCGGGACCTTTGTCAACAACAAACACAGTAAACTAAATTTCTTTGATCTTTAAAATAATTTTCAGTCATGAGAAGTTAATAAGAATTTCAAAGCTTTTCTCCATGAAATGTTCACTGTTGAAATCAGTTTTGAATTTGTGTAGTTAAACTGTTATACATCCCTGAACAGATAAATTAAAATTAGTTTAATCCTATTGTACTTTGGCTTTAACTTAGTTTGGCAGTCTAGCACTGCAAGTAATACTGCTTTCACTTAGGGATTGTCACTGCTTCACTTTAATAAATTAATTAGCAAGACATAAAGTGAGTGAATCTGAGGGGCTTTGAGAGGTGTGGGCTAGATCTTCCCCAGAGAGCTAAAACCACTGGTAGGTGGGTGCCACTTCTCAGTGCAACACAGCATTAATGAAGAGGTTGTCGTGAAGCTTGTTTAGGTGGCATATTCCTTGAGTCTGCTTATCTATGCTCAGAGAAGGAGGTAGGCAGAAGGAAAAGCATGACCCAGTGTTAACAAGGACCTCCCTCTTTGGTCCATTCCACACTACTTCATCTATCATCTGCCAGAAGAAAAAAAACAAAGACTAACTACATTCGTTTGACTGAAGCATTGATTTGGCCAAGAAACAATGCTTTGTCACATCCAAACAAAATGAAAACAAAAATCTGTAATCAACATAGCCATCATGGTTACTGACTCAGACGCTACAGGGCTAAACACAGGCAGTTCCTGAGCTGGATGCTTGAGGATCCCTGGACAACTGTATTTTCAGCTGATAAGGCTCAGTCTGTACTGAAGAGGAAGCTGGCCAATGGAGCCTATCCTCTGAAAAGCTAGAAGTCTGGGTGCACCTGATCCTCATCAGCTGTCAGTGAACTTTTTGGAAATGGCTCTTTTGTCTCCTCCACCATGGTGATGATATACCTCCAATAAAGCTAATTCGGACAAGGGGTTTAGCTTTTTGACAGGTAATATAGAAGAAAGGATCATCTTGCTCACTGATTAAGGTTCTATCTTTTTATGACACCATTAACTGCATCAGTACTCCAACCTCTGCAATTCAGGTACCGTCTGCAGGCCTGTTGTTGAGAAGTGATGCTAAGCAATTTCTAGCCATCAGGAATCTTCTCTCTTTCCGTCCCACACACACCCTTGGAAATGAGGCATGATTTTGCTGTTCAGAGAGAAGGATGCCTTTGTAAGGATCTTTTTCCATGTAGTGATAGTAGTCAGCAGTCTCTTGATTTTTCTCTATGGCTGAACACTTCATCCCATGTTATTCCCTTTTTAAAATGGGAAAAATGATGTTTGGTCCTCTCCCAGTAATGCCACAGGGGTTAAATACACTACATCTTGAGATTTGTTTTTGTTCTACGTGATGAAGTCTATGTATGGACTGCAGATATACAGCTTTCTTTCTCTTTTAAAACTTCAGCTCACTTACTGCTGCTGTTTCACAGCTTGATCTGTTTGGTTGGGCCATAATACAGAGCACAACTGAATGGCTGAATTACAAAGACAAAACAAATCAGAAGTACAAGGAGAGAATTAAACACTTTTGATCAGCCTTTCTCCTGCACTTACTGTTTAATTTAAACCAGAGCTGTTTCTTTCTGTAGTAGTCATTCATCTCCAAGAAGTGAAAATACACTTGCAAAACTAATAAATGTGAATCTATTTGCAAAGATATGTATTTATGCGCCTAGCACTTCAGGGTGTTTAGAGGGTAATCTCAAACTGTGAGCACAGCACTCTGTAAATTTTGAAGCAATTTTTCTAAATGTCAAGTATTTATTACATGAAAAAAACATTTGGAGTGTGGAGCAGGTCCCTGGTGATATATGGTGCATTTGGGGAAGGGCTTCTTGGATGAACGGAAATAATGTTTGAGTGCTGAAAAGCAAATCCTCTGCTTGAAATCTCTTTGTGTACATGGAAAGGAAATTGAACAAAGCTGGAAAGCTAGTCAAGTATTTTGCTTTGTCTCTTGCATAAACTTAATATAAAATAGTGATTTTCCAAGCCTTTTATATGTAAGCTTATTCCAGCTTTTCTTAGTCTGCGGCATGTCTACCTCCTCAGCTCAGATTGCTGCTGTCTCCTTCTCATCCCCTTAACAGCTCCAGAGAGCTCAGTTCAGACTGCAGGCAAATAAAGCCTGCAGGATTTATTCATGTTAGCTTTTACCCACGTAATACCTCACCTTAATGGCAACATATCTCAAAGTACAAAGTAGTGAAGTGCATCTCTGACTGGAGGCTGATGATGTGCTGGAAGTTTTACTCACCTCCCTTGGAAGACTGACTTCATGCCTCAGCCTCTAATGCTTCTCAAGAGAAAAATAGCCAATATAGTTGGTTCTTTGTGGTCAGTCTAGGAGTTAGTAAAATGCTTTCTACCAATAGCATTATAACAGTTTCCCCTCTGCTTTTATGACTCTTTTTGTGTCCAGATATAGCCTTATATTCCCTATCTACTCTGCAGCTAGTGCATATTCTGAAGCTACCATATTACTGTTGTGTACTGTTTGGGTTCAGTCTGCAGATGTCTGTGATGTTTCTGATGGAGCTAAGGAAAGCCTTTCAGTTCCTGGGCAAAGTGATACACACTGAGATACTGATACACTGCTTGATGCTCTACTGAGTGCAGTGCATCTCACTATCACTGCACTGTGGGGCAGCAGCACAGGAAGCTGTGATCACAGAATCATTAAGTTTGGATAAGACCTCTAAGATCATCTAATTCAACTATCAACATGTCACCACCATATCATTAAACCATGTCCCTCAGTGCCACATCTACCCTTTTCTTGAATGCCTTCAGGAGGAATGACTACACAACCTCCCTGGGCAGCTTGTTCCAGTACCTCACCGCTCTTTTGGGGAATAAATTTCTCCTTATACCCAATCAGAACCTCTTCTGGTGCAACTTAAGGCATTTACTTCTTTTCCTCTCTCTAGTTACATGGGAGAAGAAGCCAAATCCCACCTTGATACAATCTCCTTTCAGGTAGTTGTAGAGAGCAACAAGGTCTCCCTTGAGTCACCTCTTCTCCAGACTGAAAAATTCCAGTTTCCTCAGCTGCTCCACATATGACTTGTGCTTCAGACCCCTCACCATCTTTGTTGCTCTTCTCTGGACACACTCCACACAAGGAAGCCTCGATGTCTTTCTTGTAGTGAGGGGCCCAAAAATATGCCAGTGCATGCTCCAAACTTGCCATCTTTATCTGGTCCACCTCACTGGGACCTTCAAATCAATGCAACCTCCTGTAGAGACCCACCTGTGAGAGGAAAAAAGAAATCTTCATACAGTGTGTGTAACTACACAGTCAGTAGGGATATCACTGCCCAGTCCTTCAGGAGTTTGCCAGGTAGAGAGGTGTATCTGTGGACTTGAGCTAGGTTACGCTGACTCAATAGGTCAGTGGTGGCATCAGGGTACCCAACTGCATTGTTGTCAGTGCTGCTTTCCTCATGCTTAAGGTACCAACCTGTGAAGGCATAAACAAGGATCTTGGCCAGCCTCCTCCCTCATCCCCCCCCAAAGTCAGAGCTCCCACATTCCCCCTGAGAGCTGAGTGCCAGGCAGATGGGGGGCAGGAGGGTCTCTAGTGGATAGGCCCTGCTGTGCTGGACCCTGAGACAAGGTGTGTGAAAAGAGGCCCTGCATCTTAATAGTTCATCTTACACATTTGGGGAAGAGAATTAGCAGGCTTTCATCTGAAACCCTTTTTCATGTCTAAAACAGGTGACACAATGTTCAAAGCAGTTGCTTCAAGTTCAATTATATACACTGGAGCTGCACTGCATGAAGGAAAAGGTGGTTAGACACTTACGGATAAAAGGCGAGAAACGCTAAGAATATATCTTGCAAAGGAAAGAGAGAGATATGCAATTTATACTTTGTGTGAAAAGTGAAAGGTTAGCGGTGATGAGGACAGACCAGTTGCAGGTACTGATATTAAATATCCAAGCAGGAAGGAAAAATGCTCTGGAAGTCCGCTTCAATCAAGCTGAACTTCAAAAGGAAGCTTTCATCAAACATAAGCACCAATTCTTATTAAAAAAAAAAAAAAGTAAGAAAAAAGAAAAAAAGAAACTAAAAGGCTGGAAGTTGAGAAGACACAAAGAGACATTTTGATACCACACTAACACTGAACACTGCCTCTTATATTGCAGAAAACCCTCTTAAAAACAAATAAGCAAACAAAACCACAGCAGAACAGCTCAATTAAAAAAAAAAAAAGAGAGAGAGATGAATATTAAAGTTGACGAAAATCACGTTCACATGAGAAAAACAGAAAATTCTGGAAAGTAAATGAAAAGTAAATCTCCAGATCGAATACCAGCTCAAGAGGCAAGTTGCTAATAAAAAATACTTTCACACACATCCAAAACATTGTGCCTACTTGAAACTTAGTACAACTTCAAATGAAAAAGTGAAGAGGCAGAAGAATTACTCAACAGAAGTAAGGCCATAGGAAAATTATTGCATGATTACAGCTTGATAATAAGGTCAGGGAGCCCCATGTCATAGGTGAAGAACAAACTCGAACTGAAGAGGTTTAGGGACAAATAGGTAAGAAAAATAGGGGATGACAACAATCAAATAAGTCTGAAGTGATTCAAGGGAAAACTGCTCTTTGCTAGTTCAGTTGCTGCATTCAGTGCTGGAGCAATAGTCAATGGCCAGTAAAACTTCAGACTCCAATAAGGCTCCAGGCCAGCGCTGAAATCTACAGAGCAATAAATCTAACATTTTTATCTTGTAAAATCAGAAGAAGAAACTGTAAAAGCAACTATACTGAGTAAAATTCCACATGCATTTTTTTCCTGAGGAAGTCACGCCTCATGAATCTAGTGGAGATGTCTGTAAGGATTTTACACGTTTGGTAGGAGCCATTGAGTCCCTCAAAGGCAAAGAGGCCTTACAGAGAGATCATGACAAACCAGGGGGCTGGGCAACAACAACAACATGAAGTTTAATAAGAGCGATTACTGAATTCTGCACTTAGGTCAGTGCAATCCTGGGTACATTTACAGTTTAGAGGATGAGAGACTGGACAGCAACCCCACAGAGAGAGCTCTGGTGGCCTGGGTGACAGCGAGGTGAATGTGAGCCAGCAGTGTGCCCTGGCAGCCCAACTGTGCCCTGGGCTGCAGCAGGCTCAGCACTGCCACCAGGCAAGGGAGGGGCTGTTCCGCTCTGCTCTATGCGGCCTCAGCTCCAGCACTGGGTAGAGTTTGGAGTGCCACAGTACAGGAAGGACATAAAACTACTAGAGAGTGTCCAAAGAAGGCCTATGAAAGTGGTGAAGGGTCTAAAAGTCAAGATGTATGAGGAGCAGCTGAGGTCCCTGGGTTTGCTCAGCCTAGAGCAGAGAAGCTGAGGGGAGCTGCCATGGCGGCTGCTCCTCACAGGGAGCAGAGGGCAGTGCTGAGCTCTGCTCTGTGTGACAGCGACAGGGCCCGAGGGAACGGCATGGAGCTGGTCAGGGGACGGGCAGCTGGGGCTCAGGGGAACGGTCTGCACCAGAGGTTGGGCGGGAGCGTGGAACAGGCTGCCCGGGGCAGGGGGTGCAGCCTCAACTGCTAGAGCTGAAGGAGTGCCTGGACAGCACTCTCAGTCACTGGGTTTGAAAATTGGGTGGTGCTGTGTGGAGCCAGGGGTTGGACTTGATGATCCTTGTGGGTCCAACCCAGGGATATTCTATGGTTCTGTGATTCTTTGTGGGTAAGGGTGAGACAAATGGAAAGTTTTGCCAGAAGTTTTTGCAGAATTCTAAGGAGTAACAGGGAAAGATCCTCTCTACTTCAAGTCAGAAAGCGGGGAAAAGACATACATAATTGGAGTGGAAATGCTGAGTCATGGCTTGAAACAGTGATTGAGCACCTGGTGGGAAGGCAGGGCCAGCCCAGAGGAGCTCAGGTGTATGCAATGCAGCTGAGTGACCAGAAGGGGTGCAGCCAGGATCCACCCCTTCCCAGACATTCAAGGATTCATAGTGGAAGCAAGAGTATCTTGCTGGAGATTCTTGTATGCCTGAGCTTTTCTGAGGGTGAGTAGTGTTCTTCTTTTGTTTCTGTGTGTGTGGCTGTTGTATTTGGGCAAGTTTCCACTTGCAGCCTGGGATTTTGCTGCTCTGCTGTCATTGCAATGCTTTCCATCACATTATAGCATTACAATAACAGATGGCCTTCACTGTAGAGGGAAGTTGTGCTCCCACCAGTATTTGCAGCTTAGGTTTTAGCATTCAATATATTCCTTGGTGATCTAGCAAAGAATGAATAGTAAGTTAACAAAGTTTCTGTTCTTGCAAATTTAGTATGCGCAGTCAGTATCAACGCTAAGCTCAGAGTTGCAGAAGGATATTGCAGTTGGCTTGCTGACTGTGCGATCAAATAGCCGATGTAAATTTAATGTCAGTGACCCCAAAGCATGGGGAAAAAATAACTCTATGTAGCTGGAGTTCTGAATTAGCTATTAGTCCTTAGGAAATAGGACTTCAAGTCAATGTGAATAACTTCCTGAAAATGTCAGCACAGTACTGAGCAATCATCAAAAATCTAGATGGGATATTTTTACTTACCTTAAAATAACTGAGCACGAAGTGAGAGTTCCCTTTATGTCATTCTGTATTGCTCCAATGCACGTGTCTTGAAGACTGCTTGTTATCTTGGTCACTGTGTTTTAAATAGATTATAGCAAAACTAAAATAAGAAGAGTGATGAGGATTTTAAGCTCTTAAATGAGGGCTCCTAAATGATAAGACAGTATGAACAGTGGAAGTATACTGAAACGTGTTAGGGATCTACTGGAGAAGTCTGCTAAGTAAGGGTTGTCATGGATTGAATGCAAAATTAATTTTTACTATGTGTCATAACACAGGAACTACTGGAAAGTAAACAATAATCACAAAGTGAAAATAAAATGATCAAAGTTTTTTTTGTTTGTTTGCTGTCATATCATAAAATAAAGGCTGTTAGAAAAAAAAAAAATCAAATGTTTCAAAATAGATCAGACAAGTTTATAAATGATTTGGATAAAGGCTCTGGCTTAAAAAATTTCCAAAAATGAAAGTTATTTTAGGAATTGGGGTCCTGTTTCTTAAGCCAGCACTTTCAGTAAGTAGGGTAGTTGGTCTGACCCGTTATGTCTGTTCATAAGTTACAGCAGAGCTCCTGCTTTTACTTGCCCTCCTATCTGCTGGGTCACCCCCACCTATGGGTCCTTTTCATGACCAGTCAGTGTAATTCCACAGTGAAGCTAGCTTTCTGAGGAGCACAGTTACCTCTGCCCAGCCCTAGTGATGCCCACCTGCAGTGCCTTGTCCGGCTCTGGGCTCCCCACTGTAAGAGAGGCATGGACATAATAGAGCAAGTCTAGCAGAAGGGCCCGAAGCATCTGACACAGCAGAAGAGACCATGATAACTGGGACTGTTCAGCCTAGAGAAGAGAAAGCTCAGAAGAAAAATGCTGGGAGGTGTCACAGTGGGACAACTGATACAAATGGGTATCCCTAATTGTACAGCATCATGCTAGAAAAGATTACAGAACATAATTCTGGAGGGAGATTGCATAGCATGTGTAGGTCAGCTGGGGGGTCGGGACTAGCCAGCGTGGGTTCATGAAAAGCAGGTCTGCAGCGGTACTGTATGATTTCCTCTGCTTCGGTCATAACTTGTCTTCCTCTCTTTCCTTCACCAGTTGAGTTGTCTTTATCTCAACCTGCAATCTTCCTCACTTTTGTTCCTCCTATTTTCTTCCATTGCAGGTGAGGGGGGAGGAGGGGGGAGGAAGCAGCTGTGGGTGCTCGGCTGCTGGCTGGAGTCAATCTTCCACGATTTTCCATCCTGAAAGTGATTCTGTTTGGTGTCTACCAAATCTGAGACATCTTCAGAATCATTGCTTCCATTTGGTACTATACAAACCCGTACAGTGTGCTCGATGTAAGGATCTGTCAGACAGGAGAAACATTTCCACAGGCTGCAGTTCGTGTAACCCACCACAGGGGGACAGCTGATATACGTCTCTGAAAAAGAGCTGGGCAGAAAATGTCAGGCTGAGGAGTTTGCATGGAAACCATTACACGCCACTCTGCAGAGATTGGGCTCCTACGGACTTGCCCTTTTCTGAGGCAGTGAGTTTGGCTGCTGTGGACCGAAGCTCAAAACCAGCTTTCACCTGTGGGCTCTTCATGGGGCCAGGACCCCAGCAGTGGCTTTGGTGGTTGTTCTACATAGTCCCATGTGCAGATCAGGGCTGTAATATCTGTCTCATGGGATTTGTGAACACTCACTGAAGCAGTTGCTGAAGTGAGGTCTGGTATGTGCACTGCATGAGAAAGGTCTGTGAGTTTGCAGCTGAAATCTGTAGTATTCTGCATGAGCACGAAAGGACCAAGTGAAGATTCAAAATGTGATTTTTATTTTTGGCACCTCCTAGTTCTGTATGTGTGACTGCTCTCAAGCAAATGTCTGTTAAAGCAATTAATTATATGCAAATGACTTCAGAGATTTCAGTAATATCCAGGCTTCTCTTCTTTTCCCTTGTGAATTAATTTGAAATTAGAATGTCTGATGTTTACCTGTCATTAGGGCATCAGTGAGCTCCTCTATCCAGCCATTCAGCCACTCATCTCTGAATGTAGGGGTTCACGCTCCTGGGCATCTCCCTTTACACCAGCTGGCTTAAGCAACCCCTGTGCTGTGAGACCTCATGTGGAGTCCTCAGTGCGGAGAAATGTGGGCCTGTTGGAATACATCCAGAGGAGGGACACACAAATGATCCAAGGGATCATTTGAGGGCAGGCTGAGAGAGCTGGGGCTGTGCAGCCTGGGGGAGAGAAGGCTCTGAGGAGATCTGAGGGTGGCTGTTTGGTATCTAAAATGGGGCTATAAGAAAGAAGGGGACAGACTCTTTATCAGGATCTGCTGTGAGAGGACAAGGGGAAATGGTTTCAAATAAAAGGAGGGGAGATTTTGGATATAAGGAAGGTGTTTGTTAATAAGAATGGTGAGGCACTGAAACAGGTTGCCCAGAGAGGTGATGGAAACCTTATCATTGGAGATGTTCAAGGTCAGGCTGGATGGGGCTCTGTGCACCTGATCTGGTTGTAGGTGTCTCTGCTTATTGCAGAGGAGTTAAACTAGGTGGCTTTTAAGGGCCCCTTCCAACTCAAACAATCCTATGGTTTTATTCCATGACTCTTATCTAGGACTCTAAGCATGAGCCCTGTAACTCTCTGATCACAGTCAGAATTGGGTACCATCTCTGATATAGACACCCCTTGGTGGAATTTTCACAACAGCTGAAGATGAGTGGTCTTCTATAAAAGTTTTATGAAGATCTTGGTTCCTTGGGTGCTTTTGTGGCTTTGCATGAAGAGCCTGAGGCTACAGGTGCCTCACTGCAGAGGACGCCCAGCAGTCACTAACTGAGCACCACTCCTTTTCAGTAGTTCTCTGCCATGCTTTTGTGTTACCTGTTTCCACAGGCTTGGAATGGGGTCTATGCTAATGGCAAGGTAAGGGAAGGGGGAGGGCAGGGCAAAAAGTTCTTGGTCACATCAAGCAAAATAAATCAAGTACAAGGACTCAAGATTATCTGGAGGATTAATATCCTTACACCCTCAGAGGGTGGAGTTAGATACCGTAGGGTTTAATAATGCAACAGAAGTGACAGGCAGAATCAGTTCTGCCTTGGTGAACTGGAAAGGGCAATGTATCAGAAATTCTAGTTTAATATCAACATTTACCAAAAAAAAAAAAAAAAAAGGAGAGAGAAAGCCCTGTTGCCTTTAGCAGTAATCGCTGCTACTTATCACACCATGACCTGGTGACTTCCATACATAACAGTTCAGTGAGGGAGGAAAATCTGTCTGTCCATGCTGCTGCTTGGCTGTAGGAGCAGCATCCCAAGGCTGGTTACTGGGTCTGCACAGCTGCAGCTGTGACCCACAGCCATAGTGTGGTCTCTAGGGTGAGAACACAAGTCTGTTAGCTGCTGGCTCAGCACTAAGATGCTTACAGCAGTTATATATGAGCATGAGCCTGGCATGCCTCAATCCAATCAAGGTTTACTCAGCCACCACGTGCTCTGCTTTCTGCTGTGAGAACACTGTGCTTGTGCAGACTGCAGGCTTCAGAATAGCCTCCTGCAGCCTTCCTATCCCCTTGGCAACCAAATTTTATTTATTTCTATTTATTTGCAGGATTGAAAACTATTGCGTATTTCTCTGAGCTGTGAGTAACCCTGAACACAAGAACCAGGAATAACTCCTGGTTATGGGAGAGGGAGAAGCAGCATCTGAAAGGCTCTCACAACTCAGGTGATCTCCAGCAGCATGTGCTACAGGTCCCTGCTGTCCCTAGGCAGAGCCTCTTCCTCCTGCCCAGCAGTGCCACTACTCGGTGCTCCCCAGTGCTTCAGCAGAAATGAGCTCTCCAGTGCCCAAAGCTGCTGTAGGCAGGATGAAAGTGCCTTATTGCATTTTTATCCTTAAAGGTTGCAGACACCTGCGTCAGTTAAGTGCTCAGAATGAGCTGTTATGTGCCCAGAGCTACTGCTATCGCAAAGGGCACCTCCCAACTGTAGTTGTATGTTACATAAAAAGCTTTGTGTTTTAACCTGTACAGCATGAGATGCTGGGTTCACTCTCACTTTTCAATGAGAGTATCTTGCTCACTAGGCTGTCCCTGACTAGCTTCCTTTTGGCATCTTGATCACTGCATAGCTCCTGGCTGGATGCTGCAGCCAATAGCATAGAAATGTGGACTCCCACTGCCTCCTTCCACCAGCACTGCTTCTGTTAATCATGCACTAAAACAAAGGGAAGAACTAATTAATTGCAATGAAAAAATGTTGTTTTTTTTTTTGCCTGGGTAATCTTTCGTAAAGATCAGCTCCCACACGCTTATGAAAGCGTCTGCACAACACTGAACTTAACCTTTATATCTTCACCTTGAAAAAGGAATGAATGCAATGCATACTTATCAAACAGTTCTAGTCTTCATTTACTCATCCCACAAATGAAATCTTACTGAATGCTTACAGAAAGACAGAAGTAATGTGGAATGGAAGTTACTTTTGTACCTTGACTATATTAATTTGAAAAGCATCTTGTTCTGCAGAAGAGAAGAAACTTTAATTTAATATCATTCAGAGAGAACTGAAACCTCTTCCTTCTTCCTCTCCCTTCTCTCAAAAGGCTGTCAGTCCAGATGGGAGTTGCCCCCATTTGGCTGCACTGAGGCTGATATTCAGCAGAAAACACAGATCAGTCAGGCTCTCCTCTCTACTAGAAGTGTTCAGAAAGAGCTAATATTACAGCACAGCTAGGGAAAGCTGTTTTCCTCGTTTTCCCTTTAAATATCTCTGTAAACTGAGTATCTCCAGCTGAAGCCTTCATTTTAGCTTCTGTAATACAAACAAGCCTTTGGGAACTAATCTTTCCTGGAAAATGAAGTCAATACATCAAGTCAGCTGTTAATTTTGCAAAGGTGCTGTCTCAGATAAGGGTGTGCATGAGCTACGTCTCACTTATTTGTCTAACACATTTTATACAGCCTAGCTCCAATGCATTTTGAGTACTCAGCTCATCAACTGGATAACTGATATATGAAAACAAGATTAATTTGTATTAGCTTGAAGTATCATTTTATTCAACTGGTAAGTATCAATACATTATGCATCTGCCAGTTATAGTCCATTTTAATTGGTTCCAAAACCTAAGCAGTAAATGGGAAGACAGTTTGTCTAGTTAATCTGAAAACAATATTCCACACAATCAGTATTGGAGTTGTCAACCGTAAAGTAATTCCAGCATTAAGTTATGGCTTTGCAGAAAGTCATGAAGTTAAATTAGAACACATCAAGAGCCATTTTCCAAAGATTTATTGAAGTAGCGACAGGTTGCTCATACTGTGCTGGAAAAAGCAGTTTTATTAACTTCAGATACTTAAAAACAGTATTGCAGCACAAGATATTGCTATTTGTAAACTAGACTCCATTGTAAACTCTAATCCTTCGGGGAGAGTCAGTTTGCAAGATCTAAGACCTATTTCCTAGCATAATAATCTTGCGCTCATGGAAAAACTGGAGAAAGGCACTTGAAAGCTGTTTCTTCCTTTAAGACATGAACTTTTTAAAACCTTGCTGGTAAGAATTTCTCCTGCATTAAGTTTGCATCTTCACTTCAGCTTTACTCCAAGTCATCATGATGCTGGGAAGTTTCATTAATAACCTGTTGAAAAGCAGAGACACTTGCATTAAGCTTAAAGACAGTTGTTATAAAGAGTTAGGACTGAACCAAATAGTAGCACAGATGTGAACAAATGCATCAGCATTTGCCTATGAATGAGAAGATCAGATGGCTAAGTGTGTGCAGGTACCATTTAAACATCAATTTAGTCCAAATACTCTATCCTATCCTCAATAAATGCTTCTGCAACATTTTTCTTATGTGACAGAGATCTTGAGTGCTTGCAACTCAACTGAACCTAAAGTCTCCTCTAAACAGAGGCTGTCAGCCACTCAAGCTATTCTCAGATCTGTTTTGTGGTCTGTTCCACAGAAGTACATTTGTTACATCTGCATATTCAGACATGCAGCTTGGACTGCCAGGTACTGATGCCTGATGCCAACCAGTGGCCAAGGCTACAGCACTGGACAAAGTAACCAGCTGAGATAGAAATAAAAAAACCCTGAAGTTACCACCAACCTGTCCATCTCTAGTTTCCACGGTCTTAATTAGAAGTGTCCTCTTCGAGTGAGTGTCAACCATTGGCTGAGACTCAATGTTGGTTTCTGGAGAAGAAAATGTATTCTTAGCAAGCATCTAAATGAAGTGCCTCCTCAAAGAACCAAGTAACATCAGTATCTACTTTCAGAATCCCAGTTTACTATATGAAGAATTCCTCTTCTCTTTGAATGATAATGAATTATAAACCTTCTTTACTTATTTTCTTCTTATTCCTCTTAAAGCAACTTCAACAAGTGATCTGGATTTCTGTTATGTATTTATAAACCTGCTTTACTTATTTTCTTCTTATTCCTCTTAAAGCAACTTCAACAAGTGATCTGGATTTCTGTTATGTATTTATAAACCTGCTTTACTTATTTTCTTCTTATTCCTCTTAAAGCAACTTCAACAAGTGATCTGGATTTCTGTTATGTATTGATACTTTCTTTATGTGTAGGCCCAGGAACAAAGTAGCACCTCATCCAAAATTAAGTAATTGTAAATACTGTAGTTGTGTGTAAGAATGACTTCCATATACAGCTGCATTTACACCAGTTCAAATGCCAGAGTAAAAGGAACTATCCATGACCTTGTTGCTAAAGATTAAAAGCAGAGACCCAAATGAAACAGCTTACCTCTCAGGTTCAAAGAAGCAAAGGTTGGAATAGGCATGTTAATCCTGAAGGAAAAGAAGAAATGGATGAAGTCAGACAATGGTACAGAATCTCTAAACAGTAACTGCTAGAAGGTAAGTGTCTGCATGTGATTTTTACCTGCTCTCTTCTCCCTCCAGCAGTTTTCTGTAGGTAGCAATCTCAATATCAAGAGCCATCTTTACATTCAGCAGGTCCTGGTACTCACGAAGATGACGGGCCATTTCTTCCTTCATGTTCTGAATCTCATCCTGCAGGCGGCCAATAGTGTCTTGGTAGTTAGCAGCTTCAACAGCGAAATTCTCCTCCATTTCACGCATCTGGCGCTCCAGGGATTCATTCTGGAAGAGAATAAAGTCAAGTACAACTACAGTTCAGCCACTCTTTCTAACACGTCAAGGGACCTTTATAACTTAAAATAAGGAAAAAACACAAAGGGAATTTGAACAACGGTGTCCTTTCTGAAGATACTCAAACATGGTCCCCAGTTTATCATCTCCTTATCCTCCCCTTGCAAAGTCCAGGTGTGTTATTCTGCTGTCTGATGAGACATTTCACATGTATTCTACCAGATAGCAAAGCAAACCCCCACAGTAAGCCAAACACAGTACAAGTCAGTATGCAGACAGCACTTGGTGAGGGAATCTACAGGTGTATTATACAGTTAAATCAATTTCAAGCCAGCCTTTCAGGCAACTGGATTCTAGAAAGCGCTAGATCTGCACTTTTCCACTGTCCCTTCAGGCTCTGTATAGCTCATTCCGTATTGTTTACACCTTGAGAAAGACCAGTTCAGTATAGCAATCTGAGCAGTGCACTACACAGTACATGCAGACAAATGGAGCCCAGAGAGTCTTCTTCAGGAAGGATGGGTACACTGCTGTCTTGTATGGGAGATCAGCTGCAGCCACACCCACCCACTGAGCAGCATAGTGCTTAAAAAGCTGCATCAGGAAGAACATCATCTACTTACGCTTCCTTTAAGGGCATCAACTTCACAGGTGAGAGACTGAATCTGTCTGCGGTATTCATTAGCTTCTTGTTTGGCCTGGCGCAGGGCATCATTGTTCCTATTAGCAGCTTCGGAGAGATCTGCAAACTGAGCATACACCCAGTTTGGTTAGCACTTCACAAAAATGGTGTAAAGGACTACTTCTAGACCCAGGATTTGGAAGCAACTGAAGCCACTGCAGGGAAGTTCTAGTGCTTGAAATATAAACATGAACATTACACTGAACTTCTCTATTCCTGATTGTTATGTTTCAAATCCTTTCTTAAATATATACTTAAGAATTGCCTCCAGCTACAAGAATAAGGAAGAACAGGAATTGAGCCCATTAGTTTAGATGGGCTCTTAGGGCTGCACTTAGGGCACA